TCTGGCCTACACCCCAGTTCTTCTATGTATAAATAAATCTTTTTAAAAAAGACTGCAAGGGGTGGATCAGGCTGTGGAATGGATTTGAAACACATCACATTCTACTTAAATGTCCTGGGTATAAAGTATAAAATAAGGGCTATGAAATCCAAAATTTTATTTTTAAAAACAAAGGCCGCACCCATTCCCTAGTTTTTGTGTTCTAGGGCCATTTGACTATGGGTGACCCTCCTGCCTGATTTTCAAACTGAGAATTATTCCTGCAAAGTGTAAGTTTTGAAGACAAATGGCTTAAGCAAACCTTATGAGGTTAACATTCAAGTCAAAAAGTTCGAACCTTAGTTTAAAATTGACTCAGAAGAAAATATGAGACCAAGAAGTGTCAATTATGTTGCTCATCTACAGCAGCTTAATCTTGGAAACCTCGGCTCTGTTCCAGGACTTGGGGACTGTGACGGCCGCTGCTCTGCAGGGAAAAGTAGCCCTCCACAGACAGGGTTCCCAGCTCCTGACGGCTATCTTCCAGGGCCCGCCTGAGGTGCAGTCTTGCCACCTAGTTAGTTCTGCCTCCTCTTTGACTGCAAGCAGTCTTCTTCTTCCCCGGGAAGTAATACTCATCGGTTAATTTATAACTCGGTTCATCTTGCCACCACCAGATACTGAAACTGCTCTTTGCAGTAGGCGCAAAAGTTGGGACAGTTTCTATCTAAAATAGATCTTTGGCTGAGGAGCAGATGGTGGCGGTGCCAGGCTAGAATGTCACAGCAAGGCGACACCGAAAGGGAAGTGCACACTCAAGACCATAAAACCATTTGTTTTTTAAAAGAAGGCATATGGAGTAGTGGATGTGTGGGTAGGAGTGAAAAAGGAACCCAAAAAAAGTAATTCCCATGGAGAAATGCCCATACATAGAAGATAAGCTCCTGGTCTGACTCCAGTTTGCAGTGTTCCAGGGCAGCCTGTGACTACTTGGGAGTCGACTCATCACACTTTTGTTCAAATGTCAGGTGCAGGCTTGTTGCTTTAGCCACGGTGCTTGGCACACAGCCCAGATCCTCAGGAGATGTTGCTGCCTGGTGACCTGACCATTTAAAACCAGATACTTGGAAGGAGGAAGAGGAAGGCCAAGAGAGATCTTTTCAACACACAGATCTCCTTGACTGGGGATTACAGATGACTGATGAACTTCAAATGAATGCTCTACATTTCTAAAACTTTTCTGAATTCATGCATAAATTACAGTGCCGTTTGCAGATCTAAGAGAGCTCTCTTGCTTTTAAAGCAGACGATTTGGGGAGTTAAAAAAATTCCTTTAAGTATCAACCCTAAAGAGATTTAGACTTGGCCACCCTGAGATACCCAGCCTTCGCTACTGCCACGGGGCAGTCGGCCCGCAGAATGAGGTAAGAATAGGTGCTTCTTACAGGGAAGCCCTCTTTGAAGGCTAAGGCTTAGCACAGGAAGAGTCATGTACCTAATTTAGATTCAACTGAAATGTTGGCAGGACACATCAGAACCCAGAAGCCTTTAAACAGTTCCTTTTTGCACCAGGAGTTCTCCTGCAGCAAAGGAGTTTTTGAGTCATTCACCCATCCATAAAAACCTTATAATTATTTTCAGGGAGAAGAAAGTAAAATCTAAAACAGATTTTGCGTGTGGAGGGTGGGAAAATGGGCAGGGATGCTTTGCTGAAGAAAAATGCCAACAACTGAAACACTTCAGCCAAAAGTTGGGACAAAGGTGAGAAAAGGAAATAGCCAAGGAGAGGAAGAGAAAATCAGGGTGTCATGCTACCTGGCTGCCAGAACCTTTCACCAAGGCCAAGTGCTTTAACAATGCTCCTTGACTTGACCCTTTCAAATATCCCTGGACCACACCATGGCTGTCACTGATTATCAGCTAACAGCACCTCAATTCTAGAAGCCAGACCCCAAAGGTGTTCCAGAACCGAAAGCACACACACAGCAAACATACGCTATATCACAGCTTTGCCCCAAACACATTTTTGTCAGACTGAGATCTGTATTAAAGGCTCATTTCTTATGCCAAGATCTCTTGCATGAGGTTTTACAAAGAATTTTATTCTTTGAAAGAACAGTAACACAGCATTTTTTTTTCTTGGTCTTAAATGCAGACTATCAAGTTTCATGTGTTTGTGTCACTTCTTTCTGACAGCCTTTAATTTCCATGCCAACCCCATTTGCATTACATTTCAAGGGACTCTAACCGCCGCTCTACACCCTCAGAAGACTATATTGTTGGTACGCAGCATCCAGCAATAGGTACACAATGCAGATTTGCTGAACTACTGGATTGCTATAGGAGTACGAAAAAAGCAATTTAATGGACATGAGATAGGAATAGCAGAGAACACTTCTGGAGTCAAATCAAATGAGTCGGAATAATTTTCATGGGCTTTGAAATAAAAATGGAAAGAACAAAACCATTTTTATTTTGATTGATATACACAATTGTGATATACACAATTTGGGCTTAATGCAGATGAGGCTAGCACCAGTGTGTTAAATACGCTGTATTCTATTTATAAGGAGGGTTGAGATTTCCAAGGACTCCATGTTCAGAACAGTGCTTATATTTTTTTAATATGCTGCCATCCACAACCCAAGCTGCAATACAGAAGTGACATTTGATAACAATGTATGAATTTTTCCAATATTTATCCATTATTTATTCTGAAGGAAAAAAAATTATGTCAGTACTGCTTTTCTATCCCAAATACTTCAAAGCTTCCAACTATAATTATTACCTGTAATAGTTGCATTTACGAAGTATTATAGTTCCACTTCTTATATAGAGATGTCTTTCCAGTGCATTGGTGTTTGTTTTTGGAATACGTTTTACTGCTCATAAGCACCACAGATAGGATGCCCAATAGCAGAAAAGATCAAGAAAAAAAATCATCATACTTGAGCAAATTTCTTGGAATAGGACAGCTTTAAAGCCATTTTGGGTTTCAGACACAGAACTTTATAAAGGCTTATTTGTATAAACTTTCCCCTCACCTTTCATCCTTTATCATTTTCCAGAAACTTTTAATCCTCATATCTTTCTCTTCTGACTCTCAATACACAGCCCAGAGATGAAATGACCTTTTGTAAAATTCCCTGGGGTAAGGGATCTCCAAGTGGGGTGAGCCTTTAAGTAGGAATTATCATTTCATCTCTGCCAGCAAGGGATTTCATTTTATGCTTTAATTTCTGACCTGTTGACCCAGGATTTCAGATTTTTTTAATGTTTGGCAACCTGCCTTCCAGAGCTCATGTAAAAATTTTGTCTGTACTCTCCCCTAAAATAAGTTTCACTCACAATTTTTGGGGAGAAAAAAATGCAATGGTAACAGGATTGGAGGAAAATGTGTAAAGGACATACAGGCGTTTAAAAAAGTTTTGTACAAAATTCTTAAAAGATTCAGCCCTTGGGCCTTTTTAAATATTGATGGGGGGTGGTGCGGAATCATAGAAAGCAAGGCAATTAATTAAAAAAAAATACACAGTAAGCAGGTGCTCTTTCATCAAATATCTCTTTAGAAAACTGGCTCAAAAACATAAATTCAAATCGAATTTGAATTTCTAATTCTAAAACAATCTTCACTTCTGTACTACTATTTCTTGTGGCTCATCCTCGCGTTGGACAGCAGACAAATGTTATTTTTGGAAACGTGAGAAGGCGATACATAAAAAAAGTGTATCAAAGATGTTTTGAAAGGCCTGCATTTAAAGTATTTATACAAGAAAATACATTTATAGGATAGGGAATGAGGATGAAATGGAGGGAAAAGGGTGAAACAAACATGAATAGAAAAAGATGCTGGTATTTGTTGAAACGTCACGATGGGTAATAGCGGTTAAATCTACTTTTGCCTTCATTGTTGAGAACAACCTTTTTTTTTTTTTTTTCCTGGCATGTGACTTCCTGTTCTATTCAAAGACATAAGGTAATTGTATTTAATATATGGAGAATAATAAAACCACACCCATGTATATTGTCACCTTTTTTCCTAAAAGAATTTAGACCTTTGGTATGGAACCCCCATCACCACATTTGACTCTTAACATCAAGAGAAATATGCTGGAATATTTGAAAATTCATTAGGCAAACTAACTTTACAGAAAAATCTTAAAAGTGGTACACATTCAAGTGTGCACTAGTGATGTGAATTTAACCCACCCTGAATTTTCTAGGCGATCACATCTAAAACAGCTTACCCCTACAGGATCAGGGTCACCCCTAAAAAACTTAAAGATTCCAGACCTTACAAGTGTATTTTGAAGACTTAAATCTCTCTTGAATATTTAAAACCATCCAGAATAAAACCGGGAAGTTGACAATTACCATTCATTGAGCACTTACATTACAGGCCCCTTAATCCAATGTAAGGTCTATCACCATCACCACTTTCATAAGCGTGGTTCAGAAATGTTAAAACAAAAAGCCAGTGGGAAATGAGTGGAACCAGAATTTGAAGTCAAGCCTGTTAAAGCCTGTGATATAATTATACTATATACACAGTTATGATGTGTGCGTGCATCTGTGCATACTGTCCCAAAGGACAAAAGCATACCAAGTGTCAAAGGCCCAGCAACATTATATTCAGTAAGTCCCAGGCCTGAGATAATACTTCAGGTTACAAGCTAAATTACTGCCATGGTCTTGTTACAGTTCAGGGAAAGAAAAGATGTTCAGGTAACGCCTTTCAAAAGATGGTCCCCTGAAGATTCTTGGACCCAGCTGCAGCCCAAGGCTAGTCTTCTTGTGTCCAGCTAAATCCACTCCACACGTTAAAGAAAAACAAACTAGGCTGCTCGAACAAAAGTGAATTTCAGGCCAACAGTCTAGGGAAGACCATCATTTGACGTTCTGAAACAGCTGGCTTAGCTTCCTTTCACTCAAGTCTTTCCCCTACTGCTGTCAGTAGGGGCTATGGAAGGCACATGGTCTATGGCCAGTAGTGCGGATATAAAGAAATGTATTTAAAAGAATATCTTTAAAATATTTCAAATTTTTATTAAATATTTTATTCAGTTTAAGATCACAGTTAAAGTACTTTAGCATGTTATACACATGACTCACATGTGCAATTTTTAGAAATATCAAATTAAGTATAAGATTTTGAAGAAAGAAATTATATAAATGTGTATATTGACTTTTACTACACATACATCTAAGAAAGCAATAATTCTGTTGTACCATTAAGTGGAAATCATTTATTACATGGCATGTTTACACCAACTCTAAAGAGAACCAAGCCAATTTCTGAAAGCAAAAAAATGAGCGATTCATTCATGCTGAAACTGTCAACAGACTTAAGACCAGGTGGTCAAACAAGGCTGTTTAATTGGTGACATGTAAGTAAGCAATTTAAACCTATGAGAAAAGTTTATAATCTGGTATGTGGAATCTCAGGTGGTTTTAATTCTTTTGGGTGGGGGGGCAAATTCCTGAGAGCAAGAGACTTGTTGTATGCTAATGAAATGAGAAAAATGTTGCTGAGCACGCATGGAGCTCCAGATCACAAACCTTCCCTACCCCCAGTTCTGCACTAGTGTGAGGAGACAGGGGATACAAGCCAGCCCCTCCAGGGCTGCAGAATAAGATGGGTGTTAGTTCATGACACAGTCAGTCGTGTTTCTGTGATTCAGGTTAGAGTTTGTGAGGTAAGATTTGCAGGGCGGGTGGGAGGATTTAGAGGCATCGGATTAGGTCCAGTTACTCAGTAACCAGTTCTGGCCCAAGTTCTTAGGAAATCTTTGGAAGGAGTAGCAATGTTCACAACAACTAGTTCTGTGCATAAAAATCAATTTGAGGACAGGATCAATTTTGACCACATGCTGCAAACAAGGTAACAGTGGCCATAGAAATTTTAAGTATAAAGTATTCTCTTCAATGTGTTAGTATAAATCATATCACTACAAGTAAAATTTGCCAGAAGAAGAAACTCTCTTTTGTGTGTGCAGAAAATGTGTTGTGGTCTATATTTTTTAAAGGAAAGTGTAGCACAAATAGATGGAGGTATAAGAGGGGTTCAAATCTGTCTTGTTATTCACTCTTCTTACTTTTTTGTACTGAAATGTGAGAAAGATAATGTATCCTTTGAAAAGGATAGGGTCATTTAATATGGTATAATAAACTTAACATCACTTCCAAACTAAAGCACAGCAGTCCATCCAACCCTGAATACTTTACCAGATACATCTGGTAAGATGGACTAAATAATGGTTTCTTCTGTTAATATAATTATGATGTTAGTCAATCTAAATAACTTTAAAAAATCCCAAAACTTAAAAACAAAATTCAAATCTAATTCTTTGGGAATGTCTGTATAAATAAAAGTAACATCTAATTAACGATCTTTATAAGGTGCAAAACAAAGTCCTAAGTGGGGAGAGCTAAATTTTAATTTCCATCTAGCAGTCACTCTGAATACTTTATAGGTCAAATGTAATTATAGCATTTGCTTCTACTGCCCGTTTTCAGCAATACATTGTTCTGGAGAAGGCGGTTTGTGAAGCCAAAACACTGCAGTGGAAACTAATGGCACTGAAGGTAGAAGCAAAAAAGACAAACCTTTGAAACAGGACTTACTGACATAACTTTTAAAGCCGAGGTAGCCCATTTGGAGTGGCCTCACGCAAGGGCTCTGTGGAGCAGTGCAATCAAAGGTGAACCTCCTCAACAGCATCACATACACCTCAACTTTCCTTTACAAACGTCGACTCCAGGCCTCACGTGACTTCCTTCCTTTTTCCAACGAAGCATGGTGCTTCTTCTTTGCCGCAGGGACACTGGCCTGCAGCCGCTGGGCTCCAGAACACTTGGGTTTTGTACAGTAGTTCAGCAGACAGCATGGTCCCACTGCTTCACATTAATGCCAAATGCCAAACTCAGAACAGAGCTATTTGATACTCCCCATTGCCCGCCCTCCCCACAAAACACACTGTATAAGCAAAACTTCAGTTTTCAGCCTCTACTGGTTCTGTGTCAACATATAGTTTGCTCGAGATTTTACATAGGTGCAAATATTTCCATACGATGAGCCAAAGACTGTAGAGCGCAAACAAAATTCTCTATGACGCAGGTAGACGAGCATCTGACTTAGTAAGAAAATGACAGGGATTAATAAACATGTTGGATTCTACCCAACCAGGCCAGTTCAGATGCTTCCTTTTGTTCATTGTTTTCCATCCCTTTTTTCTCCAGCAGATTTACGGCAGGAACTAGAACAACAGTGATAACGTGGAGGGATCACGGCATGACTTCGGGACGGCACTGGTGGAAAGCTCATCTGACAGAAATACATGCACACATTTCTGATACTTGTGGGGAAAGTGTCAGAATTACAATAGTAGGATTTACCTTTGAAAAAAGGGTTTTAATGAATAACCATTTTGATTTAAAACTAACCTAATTTGGGGATAAGAACTTGTATCTTCAATGTGGCTGTGGGACATTTTTTCTTTCCTGATCTCATTACAGTATCCAAACAAATAAAAACTTAAAGGATGTCATACAGTATTTTTTCTTTCACTGAGCTTCTTAGAGCTGCAGCTTCAGTTACTATAATATACTCTACACACTTCAAAATTACATAGGAGATACCCAGAGTAACTAAATAAATAAAAGGCTAATGGAAACTGGAACAGTACTGTTGTCTCCATCTGAGACTAAATCATCCACTTCCAGCATCACAGAGAAGGGCTAGGACAATTTTTTTCAAAAGATTTATATACAGGTTTGAATACAGAAATTCAGGTTAAAAGCATAAATATTGATAATTTCAACTAAATTCAGAATGGTTTCAGAAAGATATGATACAACACTTTAGAATAAAACAAAGCAGAAGAGCATCATATTTTGGTTTGCTTGAGATATACATAAGGTGCAACAACTTTTTCTCTTGAGGATGCTTATGGGACAAGTGTTAGTGTAGATGGTGTTTGTTGGCAGATTAACGTACACACCATAGCAATATGATTTTCCAAAATAAAAAAGAACAAGAGAAATGAAATGAAAATGATAAATGGGGGGAGGGGGTACTACATGTTGGTCTGAAATACTTGTGCTAACAAATGTTACCTGAAAATACCAACACCCCGTCCAGTGGAGTCAGGGCAAGAGAAAAGCACTATTATTGAAATCAAGACTTGACTCAGAGAAACGACAAGGCGAGTGTCTAAAGGACTATAAAGCTTTGCAGGATTTCTGCTACTCTCAGTGCCTAACCGCTTAAAAATTAAGCATTTCTACAAAAAGGTTTTTTTAATTATTTGAAAACAGTCATATCCAGTAGGTTGCCCTCCCACCCCTACCCCTGACTAAGGGAAAAGCCACTGAGGTTTAGGAAAAGCAGATCAAGTAAGATATTAATCACATAGAAAAAAGTAATCTTGTTTTGCTTCTTTTTAAAAAAAAGGTCCCATGAATATACAGCAATTTCTTAAGGAACTCTAGTGAAATGTAATCGGAGGACTGAAGGAGGGTGCTCTGGCAAAAATAGATCTATTCTAACGCGTCCTAGAGAACGACAAGTCAGTACCACTGCCCAGGTGCATGGGCCGCACCAGATGATATTTGATGTTGGGTCCGTTTTTGGGATTTCAGCTAATTATAATTTTTAAATCACTGCTTGCAAGTGGTCCAAAACACCAACAGCCACCAACTTCGGGCCCCAGCCACTTACAAACATTCATTTTGTGTTTTGAAATTTAGAAAACACTAATAAAAGAGCATCATAGTAAGCACGTTATGCTAAAACCTGGGGCTGCTGACCTGGTTTATTTTCTCTGTGAATGGGGCTAAGCTTTACCCTCTGATTATCCCTGCTCACTAATTCCTTCTTCCTCCATGCCAACAATTAGTTTACATTTTGAGGACACCATTCTAACACTCTGCTGCCCTCTTTACCTGCTTAAAAAAAAAAATCTCTATTTTCTTTTTCAATTCTGTTAGTATGTTGTACATATTTTTCAGCACCGAAACTGAAGTAATATCTACAACCACAAAAAGCTAAACCTAGTCAGTACTAATAGAGTCATTTTTTTTGTATGGCTATTAGGTCAAATTATGATTAGAAAAAAAATCATTACAATTCAGTCAAGTATAAATAAGAAAGCTAGATAAAACCTTGTAAACTGTCACCATTTAGAGATCTAGTCCAAAAGCTTCAAACTCCAACTAATGCTATCAAAAATTCAGCCAGTTTGAAAACCAATAAAAATTATTGCTGGAATCCAATAATTAAAATTTGGTAGTTTGTGCTGTGATGCAAGAGTGGGGAAATACTTTGTGCTATGGAACAAATACCCTGTAAAATCTGTGGCCTCAGACTAATTTTGATTTATCACTGTGCATCTGTTGCTAGGAAACAAGACACTGTGAACATCAGGTGGTTAAGTCAATATGTTGAATGTTCTAAGCCAGTTAATCCATTTGGCACTGGCATATGTATGGTTGGTTTTATGTTCAAAAACAACAAAACACTAAAAGGAAAGAGAAACTTGCAGGTGGATCTGTGACTAAGAGTTCCACTCTGGTCAGGCACACCTCCATCATCATTTTCCTCCCTACCTCCTTTCACAACACAAACTCAAAATGGCTCTAGAAACTTGCAGTGCCAATTAGGCTGTGCATAGCAATTGCTACCCGTCCAGTCTGTCTGGGGTGGATGTAAAAGATCTGCAGCTCAAAGTCCACATGAAGTGAGTGTCTTCAATGTGTTCAGAATAGTGAAGTAATACTAAGGTCACTTCTGAATAATAGTTCTCTTATTTTTGTTTGTTTGCTTGTATGAACGATCCACTGGTCACTTGACCCCTGTGTAAAAATAAAAGAATCCTCAAGGCATGAAAACATCAGTAATCTGTAATCTGCAGGACACTTCCCCTGTCTGGGAAAATATTTGCCATAATTTGCCCCAAGCAAATTCTCCTTGGTCACCCAAGGCTAAGAAAAGAATTCAGCTTGGAAGAATTGTAATTTTTTTTTCTCTATTTTTTGCCAGCAAACTACCACTCTGGTGGCAAATAGAAAAGTGCAGAATATATGGACCACGAGGCCGAGCACACCGCTAACAATGGTACACCTGCCTGCCCGTGCTGCTTGGGAGTCTCTGGAACAGGCTTTTTAATATTACTCTACAATATAAATGTAGGTATAACCTATTATATAAACCATCTTAGAACTTAAATCTCCATGTACAAAAAAGACTAAGAATATCTAATAATAACTAGTGCAGTGCGTCAGGTTTTTTTTTGTTTGTTTTTTTGTTTGTTTTTGTTTTGAAAGAATAACTAGGTAATATACGAAACTAGTTTCACTCTCTCTGGTTGGTAAAAGAGATGCTGGATGAGCTACAGTAAAGGCAGCCTTTTACCAAGTTACCACCTATTACCGTCAAAAGCCTTCAATAGAAAGCAAAGCTCCAGGAGCGTTCTGTTTCTGCTCAGTATCAGACAGATAACATCACCCTCAAAGAATCTGGGTTCCGAAAGAACAAACTGGCCCAGGATGCTAACTTCTGCTTCAAGTGAATCTGGGCCATGTTGGGCAACAAGCACTTGTTTGCAGTCTGTATTTCCCACCACATGGACTCACTAGCATCCCTCGGTAAAGACAAGGCTAGGGTAGTAGGTAAAGCACAACGTTTTACAATGACACAGCGCTTCACTGGTCAGCGCAGGAAATAAGTACAGGAGCCTGTGGCATTTCTTTTGGCTGTCCATCATGTGTGAGCGGAGTAGATCTCTGACCTCTGCAAAACAAGAGGAAGGGAGAAAAGAAAAGCGCTTATTCAGAGTACAACATGAGAAAGAAGCCAGGATGATGGATAACTAACACAAGCTTTCCAAAGTCTACTGAATAGCTACTGCAGACTTAAATACTTAGGCTTCTTAAAGCTACTTTTCTCCTTCACATTTTTAAAAAAGAATTTATCTCAATTCCTTTCATACAGCTCAGTAATATACTTTATCCCCAACCTACCACCTCTATTTTGTAGAGATGAAACCTCTGGCACCCAGAAATTTGGGGAAATTCCCAGAGAAATGAGAACCTTTCAGTTGAAGGCTATGGGTTTGCAACAACAACTTCCTCTTGATCCACTGATAAAACAAATGATGAGCTGCCTGAGGGGAAAACTCACCTATACTAATTGATAACTACCAGACTCATTTCTCTATGTATCTAATAATAAACCTAATTTAAACACTATAAAGACAAATAAAAGCAATAATCCTGGAAGAAAGAGCTGGAGGACAACTCTTAAAAAATGAATGCAAAGAAAGTCATGAAACACTCTTAAGGTTTTACAGGCATGTGGAGAGGGGAAGAAGGCCAATTACCAACTCTGAATTTTACCTTCTTTCTTTTTTTAGGTATGGACTGTTTCACCAATTAGCACGTCATTCCTGCTGCACAAGAGCCACACTAATCTTTTCTGTATGAGCCAATGAGTGTATGCACTGTTAGGGTGAGTGCTGAGTCTCTGATTTCAGAGTCTGAGAAAATCCAGTCAATGTGGGTCAAAATCAGCATGTACCTAGGACACTAGAGGAGACCCGAACTCTTATGGAAATTCCCATCATTCTTATTCTAAAAAGTGAGGCTTGGGACACGCCCAATAGCCTTACACACCTCTGGCTCACAACCCTAGCCAGCGACTGCCAGGGTTTCAAAGGTTTAGTCTTTCAATGTCTTTTTCCGACTGTGAAGAATTTTTTAAGATTCAAATGATACCTACTACTCCACTACTTGATCACTATATCCATTTCTTTCCTTGATGTACAAAAAGAAAAATAACGTAGGAAAATTACAACATTTGGGAATTTCAGAATTTGGTGATCACTTAACAGTCTAAGTAGGGTTTTAGGAAAACAAAACATGTGTTACAATCAAACCTCTGGATTAATCTGTTTATTCATGCAGGGATGCTGTAAGAACCAACTGTTTATATGCTCAACTACTTGTTCAAGAAAAGTAAAATGAAAATGCTATTTTTTTTAACCTTATAGGTTGAATGTGAAATAGTGCTGCAAAAGCCAAAAGAATTTTAATAAGTATTGGAAAAGGAAACAATAATAAAGAAAAAAATAGCAAAAGGTAATAAGGAAACAACAATAAAGAAAAAAAATAGCAAAAGGTAATAAGAAGCACAACATGAAAAAAAGAATGAGAACAAGTGTGATAAAAGACCAGTTCATCAATAAAGAAAAGAAAAGGGATCACTGCATGGTGTGGCTGGAACCAACTGAAGGCTTCAGAGCCCTCAGAGCGTGACTCTCCAGGTCTCTACGACATGCTAGACAGAGGCTTCTCAACAGCATGCCTGGGAAGGCAAAAATAATGGAGTTCAAGCCTTAGTTCAAATCTTGACGCTACAGCTGCGTGCTCTTAGCAAGTTAACCATTTCTGCCATCATTTCATGGGAATGAAAGAAACCTAATAGCGGGGCTGGTTTTAGAGTTAAGTGTAATGATTTTTCCTCCTTATAAAACTCCTACTAAATAAACAGACTCTCAAAGGTTTATTCCATCTTCCTATTCCTGCGTTTTGTAAAACTCCCATCCTATGTTGGGTTTCTATACCTAAGAGTGCAAGTAATATATTTTCTTCCCTTAATTGTATCACTCACCCTCTAAATTATGAACCAAGGTGATGCCTATGCAGTAATTAATTGATTTACAGCACAGGTAAATTACATTAAGTCTATAGGTAGAGCACAGGCTGGTAGTTCTGCATTAACAGGTAAGAGTTAAAGTTACAACTAAGATTTCCCAGGAGTCTTTGTCTTTGTAAGATATTAAGAACACTGACCATTTGTTTAATTGATAGGGAAATTCTAGTCAGCAATATTATTCTATCTAATGGGAAGTTCTTTTTTTTTTTAAAGAACAGTTACTCACACCATTTTTTCTACTCTAGCTAATAAGTAAGGCAGTCAAATGTCAAGAACACCTCATTTACTCATTCATTTGTTCATTCAACCGTTGATTATCATGGGAACTAAGAATGTATATTTTGCTTTTCAAATATAGTAAGAGACAGAAGCATTAACAAATTACACCCAGTGCAGCAGCTGTGCTAACAGAGGTGTGTGTTGTGAGTGGGGGGCTTCAGGAGAGGGCTGGGAGAAGAGACAAAGCACAGGAGCCAGGAGCAGCAGCAGTTCATGAGGACGGATAAAGCACCGGACAGGAGCAAGCGATTCCACATGCCTGCAGAGCAGGAGGAGGGGTGGTGGTGGCGGTGACATCTGCTGAGGCTTTCTGCCGTTGTAAATGGGAAGTTTGAAAGGCTGGTTAACGGAGCACTGGAGGGCTGCAGCCATCTTTAGAAAGGAATGCTGGCAGCAGCAAAGGTAACTACAGAAGCCCATTCTGAACCTCCAATGACAATCTTCCCTCAGAATTCTAATATTCTAATGGACATAATTCAGAGGCCCCCTTAGTAACACAAAGGCACATACTAAACTCTTTGGGCATGCATAAAGTGTGTCCTCTGACTCAACTGTAAACGCCAAGAGCGGAGAAGGGTTTATGCATTACCTTCCTCAGACTTAAGCAATGTCTATCAGAATTCAACAACGTCTATCAGAGTTCACCTGTTATTAGGGACTTGTGGTTTACATGTGAAAAGGGAAGTGACTTCATTTTTATATATATCTAGAGGCTATTTGTGAGGAAACTCTAATAAAACTGTAATGTGACTGGTAAAGAGCAAGAAGCAACAAAGCGTACATCAGGATCTCCTACCAATGGAGGTGGGAAAGGAGAGTGGAGCCTGACAGGTGGGTATACAAACTGTAGATCTCAAGCACTTCTGTGCTGAAGAAGCTTGTCTAAGAAGCAGTTCAACTGTGTTATGGTAAGCCACTTTATTTTTTTTTTTAAGATTTATTTATTTATTTATGGATACAGAACTGTGGTACAGGCCAGAGGTGCAAGGGCAGTGAGAGGATTCACCAGAGATAGAGTAGGGAGTAGAACAGGCAGACCAATGAGGTACACTGCTGAGGGGAGCAGTGGGCGGGTCAGGAGAGGTCTTGCACCATGTGGATCACCTCTGGGGTGGGGATCGAACTCACAGGAGTTACTGCAGCTCACTTGCCGTGCTGAGCTTTAGCCCAATGCTCCACCAGGGAGGGCCTGTGGCAAAGCCACTTTCAATAAAAATAGGAACTACCTGAATTCACAAAAGGGTTTGTTTATCTTTCCAAAGGACCCGTTAAGTAGCAGAAAACCCCACTTACACACTTAGAACTTACTATATACGTTCCTTGGGGAATTATTGAGTTCAAATGGCTTTCAACATCTATGAGCTAATCCTATCTTTACAACTTTGTGGTTGTTTGGGCTATCATTATGATGGATCTAAGATGCAAAAACCGAGGACGCAGAGATAAATTACTTCATAGCAAATACAGAGTTGAAGAAAAAGCCAAGTGTCTTCCACCAGTCATGATATCCTACCCCAGGCCCCTTTAGTCCCCACAATTACGATGTCTTGTTCTGTTGGCACCATGGCCATGAACACCATCCTTAGTGGGTTGTTTACCACCTGCTAGCCCTAGGACATTAGATTTATTTCATATAAAATCTCCAGGAAGTTATCACTTAGGCCCCATTTTATAGGAGAAAAAAAAAAATTCAGAGTAGAGATGTATGAGCTTGTTCACAAGCTTGGTGCTTGCAGAGATAGAGCAAGGACTCACCAACCCAAGCTGAGACCTGGCCTCAAAGTTCACATTCAATCATAAGACAACACTGCTCTTCTGCTGTGGGGCTTTGTGTAGAAATGGAGTTTAGCCACAGAAAAATGTATTCAAAATAAATAAAATACCTGGCTGGCTACATTTCTGTATATATTTTTACACTGCAATTAGCACTACACCTATTACTTTTGTTAACATCTGACATAAAAATCCTCTTGAACTAAGATTCACGAATCCTAACGCACTGTGAAATTGTCCGAATCGTGTCAGGAAGGATGGTTTGGGTTTCTGCACCTTTTTCCATGTTCCGTGGAGGGAGTGAAACCCTAGAGGAGGCCCTGAGCCCGTGGGGCCAGGGTCCCCACCACTGACCTGTGTACATTCTCCATGGCAGCCACCTCAGCCAGCGCAGCAAGGCTAAAGAACGCAGACACGGCCGGCATCTCTGGAGTGCTGCTCCGCGTGTCTGCAGCCTCCGAGCACTTGTGCGGACACTCGTCATGGCAGCCAGTCTCCATTACTTTGGGGAGACTCCGCAGCAGTCGCTCCTTTGGTTTGTCATCTGTAACAAAAGGGAAATTCATCACAAGAGAATCACTCTGTTCTCTCCAGAGAAGAGACCCATAGAAAACTGCACCAGACAATGTGAAATGAGCTAATATTCTTTACTGTTCACTTTTGTCATCCAACAAATATTAAGGCTTTTACAGAATCTCTTCTTCCACGATAATAAAACTCTTTTATTAAGCTCAGTGGCAACTGTGGGCAGTGCTGAAGCTGAGCAGAAAAGAAGATGTGTTTTATCCAAGGTCAAAGAAGAGGCATTGTAGTGAAGAGAAGAAAGGTTTTGGTAAAATAAAACCCAAGTGACTTCTGCAGACGGGCTGTCTATAAGAAGGTTCTTAAGTGATCCAACATTTCTGATGGAGCCATAGCTTTTTCTACTATGGCAACCTGGACACTTGGTATCACAACACTCAGGGTAACCTAAACTAATTGTATGAGATCCATCAATCTCGATGAGATCCCAACATGTTATTATTATTGTTATTATTTTTTATTCTGAAACCTAGCAGAAGTATGGCAAAGGGCCCACTGGCATTAATGAAGAGGTGGCTGAAATGCTAGTAAATATTCATTAATAATGGAAATGAGTACAGTTTCATAATAGGTAGCCATTATACAGAAGGAATCCTTATCATGGTTTTAAAATATTTTGAATATAGAAAGCACGGTTAAAAGTTGTTAAATGTCATGTATTAAGATACAAAAATGTTAGGTACTTTTCTACATAAAAAGGAGTATTTTCCAAAGTCTTTCATTCTTCCTACAGGTGAAAATATCTCTAATAGGCTATGAGATGGAAATCATAGAACAGAACCTGGAGGGAAGGGCCTGCTGAACTAAAAATCGGGGCAACTAATCCTTGTCCAGAAGCTGACTAGTGAATGTACACAGCAACAAAATTTCCTCTTTTAGCACTACCTCTTACATGATAGGGTAAAAGTGAGAATCTTTAATAGTTTATGGTTTTAATGACCTACAAAACACAAGAAAAAGTATGCAACATTCACGAGTAATTTTATATCAATAAATAATCTCTATTAACAACTAGATTAATCCAAATCACATACTTATAAATCACTCTCAAAAAGGTCTCTCTTAAATATTTCTTTCTATGTGTAGAAGAAGTCATTGAAAGGCCTTGATGTTATCCTGAAAACTGGACTAAGTAGCAAGAGGAAAACTTCCTTCAGGGCTAACAGAATGAGACACGAAGTGCTGAAAGGCAGGATGACTACTTATGTTGGTGCTCAGTATCTTGTTCTTCACTTAGGCCTCAAGGCAACTCTGCTTTCCCAGAAGCCACTATAAACAGCAAACAGACGGCAATCCACAAAATGCAGAAATAGAAAATGGAGACTATTTCTGCAAGTTAAGATTTAGTTAAGGAATAAACTAGAGAACTAAAGAAATCCAGAGGCACCGACAGACTCCCATAGTGGTCTGAATCAGCTTCAAGGACATGCCGAATGCTTTCGTAATCCACTGGTTTAAATACTGATAATCAGGTTTGCAGTGACTTGAATAGTGAACTATGGAGAAACACCCACTTGTCCATTATTTTTAAAAGTCTAGGATCTCTGAAAATTTATTTAATTCAAACTGTGTACAAGCTAGAAAGGACTATGAAGCTGATAGTCCTAAAAATTACCTTTTCTTCCTAAGAATTCCAGATATGCCCTTTTAAAGAGATATGATTTTAACACATGAAATAAAACGTGCACAGAGGTCTGTAGATAACTAGCTCTCAAGGAGAAGCACAGCAAGAGTATCACTATGACCAAACCCACAGAACAGATCCATTTTTCAGATGGCTTATAGTCATTCACTGGCCAGTGTGGTCACAAAGCTCGCCTGCTCTGTCTCAAACTCCCTCTTCTTACCCAAAGTACCTCCTGCTGGTGATACCCGGCCATCTGCTGTCCTGACAAGGTGTGTGATCTTGGTTTTCCTTGCTTTTCTCTTTTGGCTGCCCACCAAGGGTTCCTGCGTTGTTGGCTCTGGAGTGTTGGGAATTGACAGGGCATTTTTAACCTTATGAGCAGGCTCTATGGTGTTTTTGTCTTCTGAAAATATGGCTGAAATAGGACAAACCATACATAGTTACACAGAGAAACACAAAGCCCCAACTTTGCTATGAGAAGGAAACATTTCTAAATGCCTGGCATACCTGAAAGGGAAAATTACATCCAGAAATTTACATAACATTGATAGAAAAAAGAAATAAAATGTTGCCCATAATGTTAAATACACTGATATCTTAACAAAATTAAGACGCTCTCTCTCTTTCACCAGAATACTGAACCAAGAGACCATTGAAGTAACACATTCTAAGTGTTTTCTTGAAGACTGGCGGAAATAATAGTGTATTTACATAAGATCCTTTGGAGTGTTGGCCTGGAGAGGATGATTAAAGACATTTTTCTTCTTCTAGGGAGTATGAGATTAAATATGTTATGGTTGGCATATTTGTTTTCAATCACCAGGTTGGACTCATCAAAAAAGAAAAGTGAGGTCTGATATGCTGTGCATGCCGACGGCTCAGGGGGACATGAATCACAGGTGAAATATGTAAGGGAACTGAATCCCCTTCACTGAATTTTGGGGTCAGATTTATGTGCTTTAGGGAGACAAGTGAATGAGACCACGGTCAGCCAGGCTAGTGAAGAGGTTAATTTTAGATATCCTAATTGCAGCTGTAGTAGCATCAGCACATCAGTTAGAAGCACATGCTTTTATCCAAAGAATCTCTGTATCAAGAGACAGGAGCATACTTGATTCTAGATCCTGGTAAGGGAAAAACAAGTCATCACCAGAGTGGCAGGGATAGGAAGAGCACTTCCTTAGCTAGCACTGCTGGGGTTTCTGGTGAGTTAGTTTCATTTCTTTTCAATGGTTGCTCCTTTTCTTGTATTCCAAATTAACTAAGAAAAACAGTGGAAAGAAGTGCCAAGGGAACAGTTACAAAGGACTGTAACTGGGAGGTGTGGCTCAGGCCTGAGATGTGCAGGCCTTAGCAGTACTGTAGGGGCCCGCCCTGGTGGCACGACAGGTTAAAGCGCAGTATCATGAAGCTAGCTGCAATTGCTTCAGAACGAGTTTGATCCCCAGCCAGGGAGATGACCCCCATGGCGCGGCAGACCTGTCCTGTCTCACCCACTGCTCCCCTCAGCAGTGCACTTCATCGATCTGCCTGTTCTGCTCCCCACTCAGACACTGGTGAAGCCTCTCACCGGCCCTGCACCTCTGGCCTGTACCCCAGTTCTGTATGCATAAATAAATAAACCTTACAAAAAAGTAGTTTAGGAAGATTGGGGTTAGAGGGAGCTCAGAAACCAGCAGGCACGGGGCCTGGGATACTGGGCAGGCTTACTAGACAGCAGACACCAAAGGCACTCAAGTCCCAGAGCCTGGTGTACTTACTGGGAGCAGCAAAGGAGTGACTTAGGTTGTAGATGAGGTGGCAAGAGGCAAAAAAGTAGAAGACACTGGGAGCTATGGATCTATGGATCATTACAAAGGAGGCAATGCCACCCATCTAGATGTCATCTTCTCAATGCCCACTGTGTTGGAGCGACAGGTATCATGGGGCCTACAGACTGTCCACATTTCAAAAAGACATAAAAATGTAGTCCGGCTAGTGTTTGGAAGAGTGGTATTGAGGGTCTTGCTCCAAGGAGCACTCCCAGAACACTGCCCCATTTGGCAGCCTCAACAGTCTGTAGGGTCAGCACGCAGGCTGAACCTAAGACAGAAGAATTGGGGATGGCAATTAAGTCAAAGTAGTAATTATCTCCAAGAGAGCAGCAGATCTGAGTTGAGCAACATCAGCAAAGCAAGCAAAGGTTTGGTGGTGAGAGAGAAGAAATGGGAAAAGTTCAGAAAAGGAAAAAGGTCGATGGTTGAGAAGTGACACACCAAGCCAGGCCTTTTTTTTTACCTTCTTGACAAACAGAAATGTGAGAAAAAGAAAAGTTTTGTTCTCTGAAAACAAATTAGTCATTTCTTTTTCAGCTTTTAATTGAACACACAAAACTAGCCAAGCACTGAAAAACAAGTCCTTAGGGCTCATTTTTACATTCCACAATCATCATAACATGCTTGGGGTGTATCATCTGAGAGCCATAATGTGAGCTCATTCCTGCAGCAACATTAGGAATGTGTTCATAGGAGACTATCTTGTTTTCCAAACTCTGCTCCCAAAATGTGGGTATGTTTTTAAGGTAGCAGCACTGAGGTACCACAGGAGGCCATAAGAGTGCTCCAGTCATGAATTCACATTTCAACAAGGGAATCAAACTTGCACTGAAATTATTATAGCCAAATCTGGAATCTCATTGCCTTTGGTTGGGTTCCCATGGGCTAGAAAAGCATTCAGATGCTGAATGGAACACAGGAAAAAGAATAAAATGAATGAGCCTTATCTAAAACCCTACGAGACTGGTTAAAGTGATACAGCAACGTCAATCTAGTGGAAAGCGATCCAGTTAGCCTGAGTGCTATGGAGCTTGTTTGAGGATCTAACCATAAAACCAACTTTTCTCATCTGTAAATAGATTTATACATTGCAGAGAAACTAATCTTATGCAGACTCCTACTGTGAGATTTTGGTTTTTTCCTTTTCTTGTAAGATGACATTTATAGTTTCAAAGACAAATGAGAGTATGCTCAAAAATCAAAACTTCTAGTAGCACCATGCTTTGATAAAAAGTGTCCTGGCTTCTTTCCTCCTGCTCCCGTTGGCGAGGCTTCAATTCCATATCATGTATTTGGGGCTAATAAGCTCTATTTAACTGATCTGGGACAGCTGCCAAGATTAGTTTTACAAAATACAAACACACACATAAAAAGACCCTCTAAAAAACTATAAGCACTATTAATGATTAATTAGCATTATCATCATTGTTATTACCATTATAAACTTCAGGCTTAAGTATAAGCATATGTCACCAAAATTAGGTGGAAAGGATAAATACAGTAGCAGAGGTAAACAGCCTTGGCTCATCTGAAAATTTTACTTTGAATTTTAGGCCACAAGCTATCTTTTTTTATGCTTATGATAAAGAAAAAGGTCTAGATAATTCACAAAGAATATAGTCACCACCTGAACAAGTCAATATTGGGGATGGTATGAAAATAAACAAACAAACAAACAAAAATCAAGAAATGACTTCAGTGGGTTTGAATTTTTAAAAAAGCATAGAAAATGCATAAAACATTCTAAGTTAGCATTTACCTCAGATGTTTTACTAAACTCCAAAAGATTTCTTATATTTTGGGGGGAAAAGATGGATTGCAAGCCAATTAAACTCAGGGTGGTATAAAGAAAGCAAGTGAGATTTAAGCCAACTACCTTACCAGAAGTTAGAAATAGCTAACAGCTGCATCGTCTCAGTTGCACCAACATTTCTATTACAGGCATTAGATACAAACAGTTCCTCTCTAATCTTTGTCCAGAACAGCTTACATGAGCTAAAATTATACTGATTATGGCTTCATTTTCTGTCCTTATACATTACCTCCAATGTGAAGTTTTAATAAGCATTGACATGACCACAGGTGAGAAAGATGATAAAGAAAAGAGCCTAGCTAATTCACAATGCACATAGTCACCACCTGAACAAGTTAATGTTGGCGATGGTATGAAAATAAACAAAAAAGGTCACAAAATAACTGGTAATTTCTAATGTTTAAACTGATTACTTCTTTCCTGCCATGTAAAAATGAATTTTCACTGTATACTAAAGGATATGCATTTTCAGTTCATGCTTTCCTAAGTTTTGTTCCATATCCATTAGTAATAAATGTAATGAAATATCACCAATAATAACTATTTTCACTAGACCCTTAGCACTGCCTAGCAAAATTCATTTAATTCTCTAACCCTCAAAGGGCATAAAATTAGGGCATATAAAATATGGCACTTCCAGTTTCAAGTCATTTACTCATAGTAATAAAGTCAAATATTAGAGAAAAATGAAATCTATTGTTCATTTATTATAATACCTCATCATAACCCTAAACTCCACAGTACAGTTGTGGAATGTGAGTGTTTTATTTAATAATGCTAATTGTGGTAGGTCTGAGACCAGGTTTCCTAATCCCCACCTGTTGTGCCCTTTCAACCACACTGCACATGCTATAATACACATCCTTTTATAATGAGGTTGGGTTTTCATTGTTTAAACAGCACCACTTAAAATAGCATCATTCAAGTAAAAAGCAATGTGACCTTAAATACCTCCTCTAGATTTCTCTAATAGTTTCTCAAGTGCCTTACACTTATCAAATATGTGCAGAATAAGTTTTGAACATACACGAAAGTTATTGTAATCAATTAGGGGATATTAGGACTTAACATTGTGAACAGCAAAACAATTCATATTTTGTTTTGTCAGCTGAGTACAGACATAATATTCCATAGAGGTGAGTGTGAAATAAGAGGTCACAAAACAGGTTTACTGTAAGCTGATACAGCTACTATTGAAAACAATATGGCAGTTCCTCAAAAAAAGTAAAACTACCATATGATCCAGCAATCCCATTTCTAGAAATGTATGTGAAGGAAATGACAACACTATGTCAAGAGTTATTTGCACACCACACTCATAGCATTATTTACAATTAGGTTGTTTAGAATGGAAAACACCTAAGTGTCTGTTGACAGGGGATGGATGAAGAAGCTGTGGTATATATCTACTGTATATCTGTTTTATTTAGCCATAAAAAAGGAAATCCTACCATTGTGACAACATGGATGAATCTTGAGTGCATTATGACAAATGAAAGAAGTCAGAGAAAGACAAACGGTATAATCTTATGTGTGGAATCTTGACAAAAACAGAAACAGAAACAGAAACAAAGAGATCAGATCTGTGGTTACCAGAGGAAGGGAGTGGGGGAGGAAGAACAGGTGAAAGTGGCATAAGTTTCCAGCTACACACTCGGTAAGCACTGAAGATGTGGGAATAAATATGCAACATGAACTAATGTGACCACACTTAACACTGCTGTGTGGGAAACTTGGCAGCTGCAGAGAGTAGATATTTAGGAGTTCTCATCATGAGAGCAAAAAATTTTTTTCTCTTTATACATGTTGGTGAACGTCAACAAACTTTCCTGTGGTAATTATATAAATAGAAGTCAAGTCATTAGGCTGTACATCTTAAATTAAAATTTTCACTTTCATTTTGAACTCAAATTTGAATATTTTTGTTGACTTTAGCACGTGTATTTTCAATAAATGATTGGTCAAATGTGAATTTTCATTTTCTTCCTTTTTAGCAAAGGAAAAAGAGTGCACTTGTGAGTTCATTGAGACATAGATTTATTAAGTTCTTCTTTCTGGCCATAAATAAGTCAAGGACATTTGGACTGAATGATCACTAAGATCCCTTCTAGGTTTCAAATTAAATGGCTCCAATTAAATGCTAGACAAATGTTCAGTTCTTTAAAAGTACCTCCAATGAAAAAAATGGCATCAGTGAGAATATGGCCCCTCAACCATCACAGAAACTGACATTCACCTGAGGGTCCAATATTTAACAGAAGTTAGATAAAATCATAAATACATATGACTGGTAAAATTTTTAAATAAAATCTGTACTTACTATCTATTATTATTTTACTAATTAACATGTGACTTTTCTTTTGCTATACATATGCCTCAGGGCAATCTGTATGAGCATAACTAGAGATACTAGAAACTAGAAGGTGAAGAGCTTGGGGAAGTTAAGGTCAGGAATCACTTCAGTAGGTCTGCCTGTGCTCAGTCAACCGGGAACACCGCATGCTGCCCTCATTTGACTGCTAACTGCATCTGCCTACAACACGAATAGCAATGCTGACTTCTTTTAGTTCTGAAAGACTATAATTTCTGGTTAGTGAGGTTCAAAAGTTAGAAATCCCCTTTTGACAAATTAAAATCCACATGACATACTACCTGACCCATAGCCGGTCAAAAATAGTGGCAGTTTTTATTTGAAAATTAAAAATAGCACAATTATGAACACTCAGGTCTAATGCTACTGGTTGAGGCAATATAAATTAGGCTATTTTATAAAATGGCCATTCTATACAAAGCAATCTGTACCAAAGTTTCAATGGCATTCTTCTACGACCTGGAACATAAAATATACAGAGGAAAAATAAAAACATGGGCAAAATACTCCATGAAATAGGCTTTAGTGATGTCTTTGCTGGATTTGAAAACAAGTAAAAATATTAACAACCAAGACTACATCAGATCAAAAAGCTTCCACATAGCAAAAGAAACTACCACTAAAACAAGACACCCTACTAAATGGGAGAAAATATTTGCACACTGTATCTGAAAAGGGGGTGATTTCCAAGCTCTACAAAGAACTCATACAACTCAACAAAAAGAAAACAAAGAGCCAATCAATAACCAGGCAAAAGAGTTAAATAGACACTTGATGTTGGGTCCTTTGCCTGGACAGACCTCCCCACCTCCCCCACAGAATCATATGCACACTGTTGTGTGGAAACAAAGAATGAGCCATGAGTGCTGGAACAGAAAAACAGGAGGCAGGGAGTGTTCCTGCCTGTGTTTGCTACCTTGTGTTCTTTGGTCGCATGTTATTGATGCACTTGCTGAGAGCTTCCGCTTACCCCCAGCCCCAGGCTCCATGCTGAAGGGTATAAGGGAAGGAGAGAAAAATAAAGTGTGCCTTTGTTTGCTGACCAAGAAGTGTGTGCTTTAATCCTGATGTCCTTTGCTCAGACCATCTCTGCTGTCGTGCTGGCGCGGCACTTAATCCAAAGACATACAGATGGAAAATAGGTATCTGAAAAATTATTGTCATCACTAACGGACAGAGAAATGTAAATCAACACCCGCAAGGTACCTTCTAACAACTGTGAGAGGTCAGAAACAAGAAGTGTTGGCTAGGAGGTGGAGAAAAAGAAACCCTTGCACTGTGGTGAGAGTATAGAGTGGTCCAGTCCCTATGAAAAAAATAGTATGACAATTCCTCAAAATATTAAATATTAAATCTACCATGTGATCCAGGAATACCACTCCCAGGTATCCATCCAAAGGATGCAGATGTACTAATTCAAAGAGAGGTTTTCACTATGTCCACAGCCAAGTGACAGAAAGCACATAAATGCCCAAACACATTAGGTAGATGTGATAAACACACACAATGAAATACTGTTCAGCCATCAAATAAAAATGAACTCTTACCATTTGCAACAACTGGGATGAAAATGGAGGGGGATTTTGCTAAGTCAAGTCAAGTCAGGAAGAAACAGGCAAATACCAGAAGTGGTCACTTATATGTGGAATACAGAAAAACAAAACCAAGAGTCAGATAAAAACTAATCAATAGCAATCCTAGGAATCTGAAAGTGTGGAATTGAGAAGGCAATACGGGGAGTGAAAGGAGTAAAGAGAAAGGGGGACACAGTGGACTGTATCAGGTTTATGGGGTGTCCATATCCCTATACCTCTCACTTGTATTTAGTGTTACAAACCAACGTTACCTTAATAAAACAAAGCATAACTAAAAACAAAAATGATGCCCTTTTAAGCCTATAAAAAAAATGTCATTTCTAGCAGAAGCTACCTAAAATTATACAATGAATATTGTGCTCATTTACCTTCTGTAGGGTGAATAGCATCCAAGAAGAGTTGCTTGTTTGACCATTTATCCCCACTTCCTACAAAGAATGACAGAAAAGTAAAGTGAAAACTCTACTTATGATATAGACACACACTACAGTGTAAGACAAATGCAAAACAATGAAATCAGAAACATTAACACACAAATGAAGCAAATTTCCTGCCGACTACTTAATCCTCAAAAGGGCATTTGCCAACTAGACTTAGATGACATAGAAATGGGATTAAATAAACAAATTTGCTTTTCATTAAATACATTACCAGATTAATTAATATGAAGATCGATTAGAAGGAAATGATACAAGTTGATATTTTACCTAAAAGAGTGATATTTCTCCACTGAAAGCAGAGAAATATTATTAATACACAAAACAAAAATAAGAGGCTATGGGGAAGGTGGAAATAAAACCAAATTTAAGTAAAAGTTAAACAGTAGAACACAGAGGCATGCATTCTTACACATGAAAGACAGTGGCATTGAAAGTTTCATTCCAGAAACATGAAAGGCTTTACATCTGGCCATGCAAGTGGGGTGCAAATGGGCACCAGTGAGCAGGCCCATGGGTATCACAAGAGTAACATGCAGGAGATGCTAACGGAGCCCAACTTCCCAGGTGCCTGCTGTGCTGAATAAGATGGGGAGATCTGTCTTTTGTAAGAGGACTAGGAGTCCTGAACTCAAGAAGAAAGAGATCTTCAAATGAGCCCTGGCTAAAGGGCTCATCAAGATCCTAACAGACAGATGTTCAGAGGAGAGGGAGGTTAGAGTGCAATGTGTCTCTAGTACCCCCTTGGAAATAACAGCTGTGAGACTCAGAGGGGGGAAGAAGCTCTGGCAAAAGATGAAATACACAGAGGGGGGAAAAAGAGATAGGTTATGACTTGACAAGTGGTACATGAGCAGAATCTTCAAGTGTCACAGAAAGTATAAAATCCGTGGGACTTTCACAGGAATATGAAGCTGGTAAGGTTTCAGGAAGGAGGAAAATGTGGTCCTGGTATGAAAGCTGCCGAACAAGAAAAGTCAGAGAAAGTAAGTGGATAGGAGCTCAAAAAGACTAAATTACAAAATGCACCAAATATAGATGAGAAAAAACAACTTTAGGATTCATATGGAACTCTGAAAATAGACATAAATATGTGAGTTGAGTAGAAATCCAAGTGCAAAAGATCTCTATTTGCAATTAGCTGCAGAGTCAAGAAATAATGAGTCTGCCTGCATCAGGAATGGGTGATGCTGAAGTAAGCACAGGGGAGGGAAAAGCAGAAGCGGCACGTAGAAGCAATGCTCAGAGATGAACACACGACGGAAGAGGCCAAGAAACCTTAACAGAGGATGGAAGGCACCAATACCTTTTTCCGGAACATTAGGCTTCTCCTTTTTGTGCTTATATTTGCTGACAATTTTGTGGAATAAGTTCTTTTTCTGAGACTGGAAAGGACCTATAGACAATATTAATATAAATACAATTTAAATTCACAATGTTTCATAAAACAATACTGTGTGCTTCTAAAAAATTACACCCTCCTCCCACCTGCAGAATAAGTAGCTGAGTCAGAAGACTTGTCATCTTGTGTCTTTACTCATCTAACTAGTGCTCAGTGTCCTTCCTTTGGCTTCGGTAAAACCCAGGAAATTTTCTTTATAAATGTTATGATTGGGCAGAAGCCCCCATTAGGGCTGGACTCCCTAAACAGAAACTGCAGGTGTACTGACATGAGGCAGACCACAAGCAACAGCAGTGGAGTAGCTGTAGTTTGCAATGAAGTTTTATTTTAGATTATTGAGTCTCGTGAAGGAAAGGATGCTGTGGGCATTTTTAACTTCTCCTAAAAACTGGTTTTTGTAAGGACAGCATTGTCAGGTCAAAAGTTGGTCTGACAGCATTAGACAGCTTTCTTGAAGATATTCTAGGAAGAAAAGGGTGATTTAAAAGTAGAAAATATTTGCCCCCAATTTTTTTTGCTAAGGAGAAGAGGGGACTCTCAGATGATACCTTAGTTTTCTCAGAAGAAAACCAAATGGCGATTTTTTTTTTCATCAGTAACTGAAATGGCAACAATGCCAATACCTCCCCAAAGCAGGTCACTTTGTGTGTGTTGCTGGTATTTCTATTTGAAAACAACTAATTATTTTATGTAACTTCTGTTTCCTCATCTGTAAATAGTGACAATGGTGCCTAGTTCATAGGACTCATGTGATTTTAAAAACTGGAAGCCCTGTAACTTCCCTGTTCAATTACTTACATATCAGCATCTATACCCACATGCTCTGCCTTCCAGAAGCAAACTAAATTCTGTATACAATTTTTAATATATTTGTAATTTTTATATTCAGATAGTAGCAACCATCACCAACTTTAGGACATATTAATCACCTGAAAAATAAATCCCATCTTCTTTTATTATATCACTTCTTCCTACCTGTGTTTCCCCTGCCATAAGCAAGCCCTTACTCTATCTCCATAGATTTGTCTAGTTTGGAAATTTCATATAAACAGAATCATGTCATACATGATCTTTTACATAGGATTCTTTCACTTGGTATAATGTCTACAGGCTCATGTATGTTGTACCATCTAACAGCATTTTATTCTTTTTTAACACCAATACTATATTTGTGTGTGACTACACTAGATTTTGTTTATCATCCTGGTTTTGTTTACCCATCCATCCATCCAAACACTTGAGTAATTTTTATCTTTTGATTATTACAGCCAAGACTGTTACGAGCATTCATAACAAGCTTTCATGTGGACATCTGTGTTATTCCTCTTGAACATATTCTAAAGAGTAGAACTGCTAGGTCATATGGTAACTCTTACCACTGACTGCCAGGTCGTTGAGGATTCTTGACAACACTCACTATTATCTATCATTTTGATTATAACCATCATAAGGATTTGAACTGGTATGTTTCATTGTGGTTCTGACATGCACTTCACTGATGATTGCCCATGTTAAGCATCCTTTCACATGCTTACTGGTTATTTGTGTAACTTCTTTGGAGAAATGTCTATTCAGATCATTTGCCCATTTTAAAACTGAGTTGTCTGGCCTCGCTGGTGGCGCAGCGGGTTAAAGCACAGCCCTAAGCAGCTAAAGCCACTTCGGCATGAGTTCAATCCCTGCCCGGGGATGTGACCTGCATGATGCAGCAGACCTCTCCTGACCTGCCCACTCTCCCCTCAGCAGTGTACTTCATCACTCAGCCTGTTCTGCTCCCCACTGTCTCTGGTGAAACCTCTCACTGCCCCTGCACATTTGGCCTGTACCCCGTTCTGTATACATAAATCTTAAAAAAAAACAAAACAAAACTGAGTTGTCTTTTTTCGTATTGCCAGAAATCCTTATACATTCCAGATTAAAACCTCTTATTAGAGGTGATTTGCAAATATTTTTCACCTCCCGTGTTCTTTGGGCTTTTTACTGAGTGTTCTTTGAAGTACAAAAAGTTAAATTTTGATATAATTTGTCTTTTATTGCTTTAGCATTTGGATGTCAAAGGATGGGTCCATGCCAAATCTATCATCACTAAGGCCTATGTTTCTTTGAGAAGTTTTAGCTCCTATATACAAGTCTCTAACCTATTTCAAGCTAATTTTTATATACTGTGTAAGCTAAAAAGTTAGGATCCAACTTTATTCTTTATGTGTGTATACCTAGGTGCACTGTCATATTTTGAAGACTTTTGTTCCCACTGAATAGTTTTTGCATACTTATTGAAAATATTTAGACTGATGAAATATATCTATTTCTGCCTTTATTATTGTTTTATTATAGGCATTTTTGAAACCACGAGGGTTGTTTTTGCTGTTCTGAATCCAAATTAATTTCAGGATCATATGTCACTATCTATGAAGACATATATTTCCATCTTAACAAGTGTCTTCTGATCTATGAACTTGGGGTTTTTCCATTTACTTCAACGGTCTTTCAATTATGTCCTCTATAGTATTCAATGTATTATATTCTTTTGTTACATTTATTCCTACGGACTTTACTCATTAGACGCTATTGTAAATGGAACTGTTTTTCCAGATTGTTGGATTCAAGTATATAAAAATACACTGCTTCTTGTACAGTGTTTTGTGTCTAATGATCTTGTATCCATTCTGTAACCCTGCTGAGTCAATTTACTACCTGTAAAAGTTATCTGGTGGTTTCCTATAGAAAAGATCCTGCTATCTGTAAACAGAAATAGTTTTTCTTCTTTATTTCCACAATCTGGAGTTTCTTGGGGGCGGGGGGAGAAGGGAGCAAGCCTTCAATTTTTCACTATTAAGTATGATGCTAGCTGTGGGTTTTATTTATTTATTAAGTTTTTTTTTTTTTATCATCAGGTTGAGAAAGCTCCCTTCTATTCTGAGTATTTTAATGTTATCACATAAGGGTGGTAGGGTTTATCAAATGCTTTTTTTATATATACTGATATCATGATGTGGTTTTTATTTTTGTTCTACTGATATGGTAACAGAGTTTTGCAAGTTAAACCAATCTTACATTCCTGGAGGAAAATTCCACTTGACTATAGTGTATAGTTCTTTTTATTTGTTGCTGGACCTGGTGTGCTATTATTAAAGATTTCTGTGGTCACATTTGTAAGAGAGGTTGGCCTGTAGTTTCTTTTTCTTGTGATGTCTTTGCTTGGTTTTAACATTGGCTTCACAGAATAAATTGGAAAGTGTTTCTCCCTTTTCTAACTTTTGAATGAGTTTGTAAAAAAAAGGTAAATTAATTCTTTACACATCTGGTAGAATTCATCAGTGAAGTCATCTGGGTCTGGGTTTGTTTGTTTGTTTTCCCCCCCCTGGGTACTTTAAACTTCATTTTCTTTACAAGTTCTAGGTCTATTCAGATTATTACTCCTTAAGTCAGTCTTCATAGTCTGTGTCTTTCTAGTGATGACTCATCTCATGTAGGTTGTAGAATTTATATTGGAATACCACTGTACTCATAGTATTCCTGTACAACCTTTTCATTTCTTCAAGGTTGGTAGTAATGTCTCCTTTTCATTTCTGATTCTTACCAGTTTTCAATTTTTCTTGGTCTAGCTAGACAGTCCTCAAATTGGTTTTCTCTGTTATTTTCACATTTAAATAGATTTATCTCATTAATTTCTTTTCTAATCTTCATTTTTCCCCCTTCATCTGCTTCCTTTATGTTGCTCTTTTTATAACACGAAGGTATAAGAATAGGTTACACCATATCTTGAGATTTTCCTTCTTTCCTAATATATACATTTATAGCTATGAGTACTAAGCTCTAAGCAATGTGCTACTTACATGTTATAAATTTTGGTACGGGTGTTTTCATCTCCAATGTATTTTCTGATTTCCTTATTGGTTCTTACATGATCTGATCTATTAGTTATTTGTGTTTTTTAACTTCTACTAATTTGTGAGTTTCCCCAATTTTTCCCACTGTTGATTTTTAGTTTCCTTTCATTGTAGTTAGTAATCAGTTTATATTTTTCAAATCCTTTTAAATTTGTGGTTTAATTGTATGGCCTCGCATATAGTCCATTCTGGAGTTTGCCCCATGTACACGTGAGAAAAATGTATTTTCTGCTATCGAGGGGGGAGTGCTCTAAATATGTCCCTTAGGTCTAGTTGGTACATAGTTATCAGTCTTCTTCCTTGTTGATCTTTGCCTACCTGTTAAAGCAAACCAATTCTTTTTTCCATAGCATTGCTCACCATCTAACCCATGATATGTTTTGTTCAAGATTATTTATTATCTGTTATCCCCACTATAATGTAACTTCCATGGTAGCAAGGTTCCTTATTTTCATTCTATGTGCCAACAAAGGTGCTTAGTATTACACTGGTTCTCAATATTTGTTGAAAAATAAATAAATAAGCACTTAAAGCACTGCTTGGCACAAAGAGCTCAAGAAATGACAGTTACTGCTGTTACTACTTTATATACTACAAAGCTGTATGTTTTGATCATTACACCACATCATCCTTCTAAGCAATAAACAACAAATAATTCTGAATTTGCTGGTGGTGGTTTAAGATCAAAGTAAAAAATGCCTTCTTGCTTGTTCTTTTTTTGTGGGGGGAAAGGAAGTGAGCAACAAGGCAAAGAAAATAAATTTAACAATCACAAAGGAGCTATATCAGGTGCACATACTACACCAATGTTACAGGCATTCTCTATAATCCATTAGCAAATGTGCCTCATGTATAATTTATACAACACAGAAAATGCAGGCTGGTACCCCTGTATGATAGATACAGGGGCAATCATAGAAGGCAGGAGGAGAAGAAAGAAAAAAAAAAAAACAATTTGTGAGACTTTTTAGGACTATATGGACCCTGGTGATTTACCTATAGGGAAATAATTTAATAATAATGTGTTGTCTTATAGGGAGATGATTCCTGTATTCACTGCTGTATATGAAGACAATGTTTATGAACCACTGTTCACAGAAGCAC